GGTTTGCACCATTGATGCAAGCTTACTTTAATTTTGTTTTCTCCTCCTCCTTCAGGACAAGAAAGCCATGTTGTCCTTCACCACAAGGTCTCTTGAATCCATGTTTAGTCCAACTGGCATTGATGGAGACATGAATGTCACACTGTGGCCTCTGCAGGTACTGTCTGTGACTTTCTCACCTGCAGTAAAACTGGTTTTAAACTTACTAACATGTGCTCCTCTCCCACAGAATGGTATCCTGCACTACTGTGGCTTCCACGTTCTGGCCCCTCAGATCTTCTGGGCTCCGGCTTCTGCAGCTGATGAAGATCGTAAATCCATGATGGAGGCCTGGCGTACACGCCTGCAGGGTCTCCTGGAAGAGAAGACCCTGTCCTTCTTCTCTCTCGACTGCTTTGATGAGAAGACTTTCCAGCTGAAGCCTGATGTTCAGGAGAAACAGGCCAGCAAGGAGTTTGGTCTGACAGCAGGCATTCACCTGAACAAGCCTTTGCCTCCACACAACCAGATGAAGGCTGGATGCTGATTTTGTTCATGTAAAACATCAATAAAAGCTGGTTTATTTGACTTTTTTGTTCTGGAGTTGGCTTATGAGAACTATACTGAAGTAATGTGGGTGGAAAAATGGACTTAAGTGACCTTGGCTGAAATTGAATTTTGTGTGATGGCCAAATGATACAAACTAATCAAGCATTGTGTGATAGTTTTGCTTGTGCTCCTGGGGCTGATAAACCTTGAAAGAAGGCTTCCTATGAAAACTTAAGCTGCAACATGTTTCGAACACATTCTCGGAAAGCAATTGTCTCTTGARTATTCACTGGAGCCATCACTTCATTGCTGGATTTTGTAAAATAGTGTGAGCACAATATCTGAAAGATGCTAGCAGGACATGGTCCAGTGTTCTTTTACCACTAAATGTTTGGTGCAGATGTAAAGGTTTTTGGTCAAATCTGCATCTTAGTAGTTTTGACTGGGAAAATTGACAATGGACTGTACTTGTACATTGTAGCGCCTTTCTATCCATCCAGGACACTCAAACACTTCACACTACAGATATTCACCCATTCAGTCACACTCAAACTGATTATGGCAAACTACATTGTAGCCAAGCTGCCCTGGGGCACACTGAAGAAAGTGAGGCTACCATACACAGGGTGCCACCGGACCCTCTGACCACCATCAGTAGGCAAGGTGGATGTGTCTTGCCCAAGGACTGACTGCTCTACCTCTACACCACAGCTGCCCTTTAAATACTATGCAATACTTATTCCATGTGGGGATGATGGCTATATCCTGAGTCACTGTTATGAGTACTGCAGCACAATGTTCTGTGGTCCTCCCGGTGGAGTATGATGCTGTTTTCACAAAGTTAAACCGGAGCAGCTCCATTGCTACAAGACTTTGAACTAGCATCAGTGTCAACCAGACGGTCATGTGACTCATTCTAGAAATAGCCTGAGTTAAGATCCCCATTGCTGATGACGTGAGGAACCACTTTTCATTATGAAAGCGTATAAATCTGTTTGCATTTGTAGCCAATGTTTTAATCATTTTGTTCATTTGAAAGCTCTTGGCATGAAACTTTAATTTCTTCCCAAACTAAGGGGTGGTTGTGACTTTAGGCTAAGTTTTCATTTTGAAAACAGACAAATGGGTTTTTGCCACCCCACAGTCTGCACTCATCAGGTTTCCGTAAGGAACACATCTACCAAAYCAACCAAATATTTGATTTTTACGGGCTGAAAGAAAAATCCAACTTCTAAATGCTACTACCCAAACCCACAGCAGTCACTCCAGCTGCAAAGAATTGATCAAATAGTTGGTAGCTGGGACTATGGACATTACTAACAGTTGCTAATGCTAACAGACAGATAGTGGAGTTTTCTGGGTGGCCATTCCAGCTCTGAAATGTTTAAAATTTTAATCAGCTGCTCTCTGTGGTGCGATAAATTTAAAAACGTGTACAATGGGTTGCCTTCAGGCCCGAGCTTCCCTTGACAAAGAGATCTGAGATCTCAATGGGACTTGCCTGGTTAAATAACAGTAAATAAATTTCCTGAAACGTTCATGCTTTTCTGATTAAATCTCCGAAACCCAAGACCCAACTTAAAACAGCCATGTCATTAAGCTCAAATTTCTGTCAGCTGTAGCTCGGTTAGTAAAAACGTTCCTTAAAATGCTTCTTCATCGTCAATCAGTGCAGTGTATGTATTTATTTATTTATATGTACTTACAGACAATAGTAATTAGCCAAATGGCAAGCTGCAAACTGACCACTCCCCCTCCGCCTCCCTGACCGTTTAGCTTGACTAAAAAAAACTCTTCACCTAAAATCACTAGAATTTCAGGAAAAATACTCCCACCCCCACTACCAACACCACTTCAGGGGGAAATGATTAAAATTTCACACATATCAGAAAACGTAAAATGAACAAAAATGTTAAAAACACAGGCGGATCAGCTGTGCACAAATTGTAGCCTACATTTTACATGATTTTCACATTAAGAGAATGGGCTCCTTGTTCTCATGTAATCAGTTTCCACATTTAGGGAGCTCTACAGCGTTTGATAACATCACCCTGCACATTAAATATTCACTAGATGGGGGTTAATATGTGACGCCAAGGGATCCTGACCAAGCGTACGTGACGAGTAGGGAGTGAGAACGTGTATGACTCATTTTACTTTCTATTCTCTTCACATTGTCTATTTCTGCTGCTTCATTTGGACATAAAAAAAAACCCAAGGAAAACTGTTCTGCTTTTACTAAATGCTAAAATCTAACAGTACTGCCATGTTATGAAAATGGAACTTGACCTAGTGAACCCAGGACTTTCACAAACCATTTTTTAAAATAACTGTGCAATCTTATTCCAAGTTCTCATGGCTTTTCTCATATCCTTTTTTTGAAGTTTGTCACATTACGTCAATGAAAGAGTTGATAATTTTATTTGAGACTTAACATGACAGACTTATTATAGTCTAGGGATTTTAAAACATTTTTTTATGAAAAGATGCAGTCTCATTTTGGCCACACAATGGCACTGTAAGCCGCTTTTGTACTTATCCTGCATCCACTGAGAACAACACGAGTGTCTGTTTTTATGCCATTTTTATGCTCTTTTTGTACACAGCATTATATGTGCAATATATATACTTTAGGTTTCAATATGAAAACAGAAAGCTGAGCTGCAAAGGTTGATTTCATGCCTAACAAAATAAAATATGTTGAAACCGTTAAAAAACCGTGATCATGAAAAATTCACCTGTTAGCACAAAACACAATGTTGCAACATTTTATCTGAAACTCTGCACCTCAGTACATGACAACGTACCCCTCCAAGGCGAAACACATGATCCTTCCTGTCACAACATAAACAAAACAACAGGACTGATTTAAAAGCAGGCAGAACAAAGGGAATGCATGTCCTCAGCTGCCTTGTATGACAAAGTTTTAAACAGCTGTCATGCGATCTCTTGGTGCTCAGAGTTTGTGTTGGTGATGACTCTCAACTACAACCACGACAAATTTTTGCTCAGTATCTGTAAAATTGATTGAGTTAAAGCCTTTTATGTTTTTGCTACAGTTGATTATACATGGTAACTCTTAATATACATTCGCTGATTACATTTTGAGAGTTTTATTACTGGATCATTATATATTTTGCAGACAGACAGACACACTCATGTCAGAAAATAAAATTGTCAATACAGAATAAAATGAGGGACAAAAATATGTTAGCATATTTACTCTGGGCTGGATTTCCTTCATTGGCACCTTGTCTATTTTACGTAATTTCCCTTTGGGATCCAAAAAGAATTTTCGAATTGAATTGAATTTAGATTTGATTTCATAGTTTCATGAATAAATCAGCCACTGTAAATCTGTCTGACCTCCTTTAGCCTTATGTGTCCTCTAGATTCTATAGATCCGGAGATGGGTAGGAACTATTTACATTTACTCAGTTACGTTTACCTGAGTAACTTTTTTACTGTATGTACTTTCAGAGTACTTTTAATGCACCATACTTTTTATTTACTTTAGTAATTTTACTATTAAGCATCTCTGTTCTTACTTTAGTCCCATTTCTGAACACTCTGCCCACCGTAAGTAATTTCACTGAATGAAGAACAAACAAGTTTTTACAAGAAACACACCAGAGAGACGCCCCTACAATTTATGTTGAAGTGATACTGATGACATAATTTTAAAATATATTTTTTTGATCCGTCACTCAGTACTCAACTTGCCTTTTTGCAAAATACTGTTTTACTCTTTCTTGAGTCATTTTTTGGATGGTTAATTTTTACCTTTACTTGAGTAAAGATACATTAAAGTAGTGCTGTTCTTACTTGAGTACAACTTTTGAGTACTCCACCCACCTCTGCTTAGATCTAATGATAAGTTGCTTTTAGTTGTCTCAAGGTCTAAGATGGTCGGCAGAGACCATCAGGTCTTTGATTGTCATCAGGGCCTGGATAAGGTCTTTAGTTGTCCCTAAGTTCAGGCTGGTGTACAAAGGGCTTTTTTTCCTTTTCATTTTTAGCTCCTAAACTGTGGAACTAGTTGTCCCATAGGTTTAAACCCTTAATGGTTTTATGTTTCAACTTAAAACACTTTTTATTCATTGGCTTTTGTTTTACAGCTTGAAGATTATATACATTTTTGCTTTATTTGATTGTAATTTTTATCAAAAAAGTTTATAGTTTCTAGTTTTTTTTCCTGTTTATTACTTTTTATGCAACACCCTAACAGATGCCAATTGTTTCTAAAAGTGCTACAAGGTTAGTTTTATTTGATTYGAAGCAACAATCTTATATATATATATTTCATTAAAGCCCAGGGGTTTTGTTTTATAAGTGTCTGCCAAAGTTTAACATAAATTATTATGTATATTTGTAAAAAAAAGAACAAAAATGTTGGTTTTGCCTTCTTGCTTGTGCTCATATTTGTACAGTCCAACCTCCTCACAGAAGATGCTTTGATGACAGTGTTTAGAGCCAGATGTGAATCAGCTCTTGGCTGGCTTTGAAAAACCCATTGCTTAGTTAATTATTTTTCTATGAGGCAACGTTCGTGAGTAGGCGCGACTGCAGGCAACTGTTTCTGTGGAGGGAAGTAACGAAAAGAAAAGCCAGAAACAGTAGACGGAGGAGATTAACCTAGACACGCTTGCTTCATGTGGGTTCGGGACATTGCGGGGAGTGGCGTGCAGATTTCAAACATCTTTTAGACACACAGACAAACACAGACACGCACGCTATCAAATGTCGTGCATTCACGTGTGGGCTCTGCCTTCTTACTGGCAGAGRGAAGAAAAAACAAACAGTTTGAAGAAAAAATTCGGAAAGTTTTGTTTARTTGTCATGCTGCATATAAAAGTAACTTAGTCTTCTTTTCAGTTATATAATAAATGGAAATATATTTTCAATTTCTGTAAAAGAAAATTAAACTCAAAGACTAATCTCTTATAGCTAACTGATTGATTGGTGACTTTAACTGCTAATTGAGCTCACCTGGAGGAACTGGGACATAAGGCTGTATTTAAACACAGTGTGCAGTCTTT